AACCCTATGCCCTATGGCTGCCTGGTGTCCATTCCAGGTCGGCGGCATTGGCGGCAGCCATTAAATAATACGGCACCTATGATTTAGGGTACCCCAAAGGGTACCCTAATTTTGACAACTACCCATATACAAGGGGGGGGGGTTCCCGTTAAGGGATGTATAAGAAGGTAATAAGGGCGGTTCCCTTTAAGGGATCGGTAAAAAGGTAATATTCTAGGGGGGTTCCTTTCAAGGGATCTCTCAGAAGGCTAGGGTTCAGGGTTTAGTGTTTCGGGGTTTAGTAGTTTAGGGGTTTAGGGCCGTTTAGGATCAGGGTTTAGGTGAAAACAACACAAATACGAAGATGCGGTAGTAGACTCCCAAGGCCCAGCATAGCTCTGCTAGTACTTAGGGATTCGGGGTTTGTAGGGATTTGGAGCTGTCGGGCTTCTGGGGCTTTGGGCTTTGGGTTATACGAGGGCTCAAGACAACCCTGCTGTTTCTCAAGCTTCAGCCCTGGGTCTCGAATCCTACAGTGGTCTTCTAGTAAGAAACCGCAAGGAATAGTACTACTAGTCCTTCAGGCCCTTAGGTTCGAACCCTTGTGAGCCAACAAGGCGCCACATCAAAGAGCCCGTGCAGCCCGTGGTTAAAGGATCATGGGACTTTGTAGCTATGGTTCTAAAACATTCGAAACTGGGTAACCATACTTAGACTTTCTTGTCCAATTAAGCTACTTCTCCCTAAATCCTACCTGAAGGCCCAAGGGACTTAGTAAGGAAGGTCATAAGCAAGGTTAGAATCAAGATATAACCCACCTAGGGGAGTTGATCCCCCTATGTACTCCTTGGGGCCCAGGCCTTGAAGTAGGGCTTATCCCGAGATCCTAAACCCCAAACCCCAAACCCTAAATTCCCAACCCCTAAAACTCCATCGTCAAAGTACCGAGCCGGCCCCGGCCTTCCCCTTCATCAATGCTGCAAGGCCTTTGACCTGTCCGGCTTGGAGGATTGGGGTTTAGGCTTTAGGGCTTAACAAGTTTAGGGTTTGGGGCCGTTTAAGGTTTAAAGTTTAGGGTTTAAGGCTTAGAGTTTAGGGTTTAAAGTTTAGGGCTAGAAACGATGCATCTCAGGACTGTCGGACTGAAGAACTTACAGACACAAAAGGACTGTCGACAGAGCTTTGTAAGGACAGCCTCAATCAACTACACCTAAACTTAGGGGTCCAGGGTTCATCCGTCAGGAAGCAGGGCTTGAACCGTGTCTTTCCCTCAGGGTCCGAAGGATCCAATAATTCGGTACCTAGGCTTCGGATAGGAGCTATGTAGGTTACTCTTTGGAAGAGTATATGTCATGATTAGCGGGTACTGGGACCCCACGGATTTCGACGGTTTATCGGATTCTCTTAAGTTTAATGAAAGTCTTTATGGAAGCTTCTGTCATATGTGACGTGCTTTAGATGGCACCATAGGGTTTTGTGGAATGTAGTCTGAGATTTCTTGGCCTTTCTGAGAATTCGTACGGCGGAGTTCAAAAACCCTGAAGCCTTTTCCTGAAGTCAAGCTGACTTCAAAATCGAACAACAGACCCTGCAATAAACACACTTACGCCGCACACGCCAAAGACCAACACCACCAAATCCCCAAAAATCCTGCAGCCCGAAGCCCTACAGGTCGAGCCGAAACCTCGAATCCCAAGCACTAGAAACCTGGAGCCCCAGAGCCAGGAGAACTCCGGAGAGCAAAGCTCCGGAACTCTAAGTGCAAAGGTCTACAGCATTGGGTGAGTCGTGGCTGAGGGCTTAGGATCAAAACCCATAAATCCCAGGACCCTAAACCCTCATGCCCGGAGCCAGTCCTAAAGCAACAAAGCCCCCGAAACCGAACAACAACTACACACGTAAAAGCTGAACAGCGTCAATGGCAAAGCACAAAGCCAAGGACACAACAAAAAAACACACATTAAAAACACGTCACGCAGAAGCAAACAACTAAATACACAACAAGAGCGCAAGCTTCGCAGGCCTTGTTTACCGAGCGTTTCCATCGAGCCACATTCTCTTTGGACCGCACCTCGCCTTGATTTTTCTGAGCAGGCAAACGGTTACTGTCTAGGTTTGTTCGATTAAATAGGGGTTTAAGGTGTAGTGTACCTGTGGCTAGAGTTCGACGTTTGGCTTCATGTTCCTGGTGTTGAAGTTTTTGGGTTCTCGGTTTTGGATGCTGCGAAAGACAAGGACCATATGCCGAACCAACCGTCCTCGAGGTGACCTTCCTTTTCCGAGCCATGAACCCAGCTCCAAAAGGCCCAATAAGTCCTATAAATATTTATCTAACAGAAACCTGACTCAAAGTAGGTCCCATAATAAGGAAATCTGAAGGAACTACCCTCGGCTCGAGACCGTAAGTCCCTTTGAGAGTGTAGGGTGTCAACCCAAGAGCCGAAGCAACCGTAAGCCCGCGGAGAATAGTTTCATCAATTGAAGCCCCCCTAAACCCTAAACCCTAAACCCTAAACCCTAAACCCCTTTTTGTGAAGCCGGGCGACTCGGAGTTTCCCAGGATTCCAGCCACTCTTTCCAGGAATCGTCGTTGGTTTCCCCCTGGATTTGAACGAGCTTCGCCCGCCAGGCCTGCGGGGTTTAGGGCTTTAAGGGCTTTGCGGCTTTTGAGTTTTAAGGGCTTTGGGACTTTTGGGTTTTAAGGGCTATGGGACTTTTGGGTCTTAAGGGCTATGGGACTTTTGGGTTTAAGGGCTCAGGGCTTGCTTGCTCCGTCTCTCTCTCTCTCTCTCTGTCCGTCCATCTCTCCTCTAGGTCTGTCTTCACACGTCGATAAACAAATAAAGAAATACATAAATAAGTAAATAAGTAAATACATTAATAAAGAAATATATATATATATAGATATACACACACATAGTCATATATTTATAACAGAATATATTGTACTACATATATTTGTTGTATGTACATATATATATATACATATATATATATATACACATATATTTTCGCAAGTGCTTTAGCGTGTTCGTTTGTGCGGCTGTATGTAATAGCTTGCACGTACTAGCAGCGTTGCGGCCATCCTACTTGCATCCCTCGCGCAAGTCTTGCGAGAAGAGCAAGGACCATAGCTTTAAGCCGTAGGCTCGAAACTGTATTCCTGTGTTGGCATGAAAGGGGCCTGAAGGCTGAATTGTTGGAATAGGTCTTCAGGTGGATAAACATCATAGCTGTATACGGACTATAAGGGAACTATTAGTATGATTAAGTGCTACTTGTTCAGACCTTCATACCGGGCTTCCTGGGAGTGGATTTGCAGGGTGGAGCGTGTCCCAAGCCTCCAACCAAGGTTTCATGAGATTCATGTTACAGGTCCTGAGACTGGCACCTGGGCCAATATGGGGGCCGTGCAAATTAGAATAGGGTTGGTTTTACTGCAGTAAAACCGTGTGTACATATATCTATATATATAGATGTACAAATAAGGCGACAGGGCATGAGTAAGTGGAATAGAGCTTTGGGGTAGTTCTCACAAAACTCTGAAATGCAGAATCTTACGGAATACCATTGCTCCGGCGCCTGTCTTACACAGCATCGTCGGATTGTTGGATTTGAGAGTGCATCTGCGCAAGCTCCTCTGCACGCCAACAAGCCATATCACCCTAAAGCCCTAAGCGCCGAAACCCCAAAGTCCTAAATCCCCAACACCCTGAGCTCATAAATTGAAGCCTTAAACCCCCAAGCCAAAAAACAGCCGTGCACCCCGTGAGCTCTATAAAGCCAAACGAGCCTGCCGCGTCTCCGGCAGGGCCTGTCGCAAGAACGTGGCCGCGGTGAAGCTATCCGCATTTGCCGACTCCTTCACCTTGCTTGGGCTTTTTAGGGATTAGGTGATGTTTCAAGCACCCTGTTCCACCCGCTACAGGGATCCGAAACCGGCAGGACCAGGTTTAGGGTTTAGGGCTCAAGGCTTACAGGTTTATGTTGAGTTTGGGGTTCCCTTGAAACTTTGAGGGTTGCCACAATAAGGGCTATCATGGTTCTTCAACGGATCTGAGTCCCCTTAGCATATAAGGCGTTAGGGTCAACAGCCCTGTGTAAGCAAATTAGGATAGGGTAGTTGGCGTCAGGGGGGTTCCAGGGTTCAGGGTATAGGCTGTGCTGAGCTTTGCTTGGTATCTTCTCGCTGGATTTCTGCGAGGAGTTTCAGACAGCTTCCTAGCTTCAAAATTAAGGCAGAGGGAGGAGACGCGGCTCCGACCATGCCACTGCATGAGAAGCCGTGGGATTCCATGTTACGGTTACTTTAAAAGAGGATCGACTTCAGGCAAAGTGTGTTAACAGATGGAACCCCGAACTCCAACCCCAAACACGCAGTCCCAAATGCCGCCAACGTCAACACTAATGCACCCGTTCTCCTATGCTCTAGTTATATAGTCCTGCGCATTGAGCTATTGCAAGGTCTTCGGGTCGAGTATGGCATAATGTACCAAAACCAGTGGTTTCACTAGATTATGAGTAGAACGGTCTTGATACTGATGATGTAATGACAAGAAGGACGGAAATGACAAACATGATTTCTATGGCAGTATCGCCTCGGTACTGGCGCACATGTTCGTATTGATATAAGCAGTCCTAGTCGAAGTCGTAGTCGATGCCATCGTTGTCGTAAGCGGAGTAATACTAGCAGCAGCAGCAGCAGCAGCAGCAGGAGTAGTAGTAGTAGTAGTAGTAGTAGTAGTAGTAGTAGTAGTAATAATAATAATAATAATAATAATAGTAGTAGTTGTAGCAGGAGGAGGAGTCGTGGTGGTAGTGGAAGTAGTAGTCGTTCTGGGGGCAGCCTTGGGTTCGGGCTCACAGGGGTTTGGGATTTTTGGGCACTGGCCTTGGCAACGAAGATGCGCTGAGCCTGGCCAAGGATTGTTCACTTCCAAGTATAGGACTTCCCTTCACCCCAAATAACCTACCCTTTTATGGATCTTCCTTAGCGAAATCATAGTGAGGACCCATCAGAAAGTATCTTTGGGTCCGGGTCCCGGTAGGGTTTGGAATCCTTGGGGAAGAAGCCTGACGTAAAGCTTCTCGACGCCCAAATCAAAAGCATGAAATCCTAAACCAGGAGCCACAGGGCCCAAACCTCACGTGACAACCCTTTCCTGTCGCACCCAAACACCTACCGGCTTCCGTGCATATTTACGGCAATCACGACATGGAACCCCTACAAAAGTAGATCGTGGCGGCCCCTAACCCCAAACCCTAAACCCGAACCCCTAAACCCATAACCCCTGAACTATCCCCCAAACCTTAACCGAAGCTGTTCACGTGGTTGCTGCGTCTAGGCTTCGAGCTTTTAGGTGCAGCCCTAACAGGGCCCAAGGTCTAGGCCCAGCCTTGGGGTCCAGGGCTCTGAGGATCAGGGCTTATAGGGTTTAGGGTTTAGGGTCCAGGGTTTAGGATGTAGGGTTTAGGGTCCAAGGCTTTGGGGATCCTGGATTGAATGATTTTCAGCTACAATATTGGGGAAGCCATATTATTTACTATAACTGCCCACTATACTACGATAAAATACGCTTGAACAAGAACCCAGGATTATGAGGTTTGGGGTAAGGCCGTCTGAAACCCGTTGAAATGGGGCCTTAACAACTAGACCAGGGTCTTGTCATACATCATAGTACAAGCATGTTGTATAAGGAAATTTTACAGGAGTGTTCTTAGCCTCCCTTTAGGCAAATGCAAAACAGCCACATACATACTTGGACACAGTGATAGTATGCTTGTGTGTATATCTAGATGCAAGAACACACACACACACACACGAACACAAGATCATTGCATTCAGACTCCTTTACCAATATCGTTTGGGGCTCCGCTATAGCAACATAAGCTCACAAGCAACCCATATTATACAACACCTACACAGCGAGGTAAATAACTCTAAAACCCATGCACACCTCTATAAAGCCATCTACAACCCTACACAAAGCGTCATAAGCCCACAACAAGCAACGATAGAGCTGCATAAAAGCTGCATGAACTCCATAGAAAACCAGTAAATCACGAGATCGACCCTAAAACCTAAACACATTGGGCCTCGTGGGCCATGTCCCGAAGCAGCTTGTATGAAATGCAGTCCGCGCCAACCTGGGCTATCGTTGGGATTGCTTCAATGGCTTGTTTACGGGTGCGTTTAGGTGTACCGTAGAGGTTCAGGGCTTTGGGGCTTGGCGTAGGATTCAACGCTTTAGGCTGCGAGCGGTTGGGCTCGGGATTCACGCGTTTTACGTCAAAGAGCTGGGAATTAGAAGCTGTTGGTTTCAGGGTATCAGTTTCTTGTGAGAGTTTTCGAAGCAAGCTTCGGATCTGTGTTTCTGTCTGAGGCTCCATCGCCGACAAAGCTGGGGTCCCGAACCCCTAAACCTCAACACCTACCTGAACCCTGACAACCCTGCTGTACCTCTTGAAGGACGTATATAGAGAAACCATAACAAGGAACCCCCAAAAGGCTAGGCTCGGTTTTCTCGGCCGCAAGTAGGCCCTAAGCTCCAAAACTAAAAGCCTCAGCCCAGATCGGGTGAAAGTTTGGCATGCAGGGTAGATTCCATCCTCACCGGGCTGGGAAGGCTTCTGCCTAAGCCATCGCGGCATCCTGCAGAGCTCTGAGTATTTCGTAAGAAGGCCCCCCCCATATGGTAGCAAAGTATATAGTATGGTATTGCCCCCCGAAAAATCAATACCAGTGTGCCTCAGGCTTCCCTGTTATCATAATTCTAAAATACATCCCAGATCCCGGCTCTAGTTACTAAGGCCCCTGTTCTGGATCCAAGGTTGGTTCGGCTGGGACATCGTGCCAGTGGGAGCTGGCTTTGCTTGCGTGACGGTAAAATAAATTTTTAAAGAACCGGGCGCTAAGTCCCTAAACCCCTAAATTCTAAACGCCTAAGTCCTAAACCGCTAAACCCTGAACCCCTAGACCTACATGCCAAAGACCCTTGGCCGGAAGCCTCCGAACGCCATGAACCCAAGGGCCCTAAGCCTAAACCCCACAACCGAAAACCCAGGAGTTGTAGAATTTTTCACTGCCCCGTTTCTTCAGGTGAGCTGCAGCTGCTGCAAGTGTTCGATGGCACCAGTGGTCCGCCACCTTGGACAGCTGATCCTGGCTTTCGCAGTTTCACCCAGACCTAAAAACACCCTCAAACCCCAAATTCTAAATTCCCAACCCCCCGCATGCCCAAATCCCGAAGACCCTAAACCCAAAAGAAGAAGTCTTTCTTTCTTTCTTTCTTTCGTTCCGTCTTTCTGTCTCTCTGTCTCTCTGCGTGCCTGCCTGTCAGCCTGCCTGCCTGTCTGTCTGTCTGTCTGTCTCTCTCTGTCTGTTTGTCCGTCTCTTTATGTGTGGGTGTGCATGCGTCTCCGTGCGCATGCGTGCATGTATGTATGTATGCATGTATGTACACAATTGTACGTATGCATGCATGTATGTACGTTATGCGAGTATTCAGGTACATACATACTAACATCTACATATGTAAACATGTACGTACATATGCACACCTGTAAATGTATCCATGCATGCCCTGCATGCGTGCATAAGAACCCACATATCATATGTTTGTGCATCTACTGCATGCGTGTGCTTGTGACTGTGTGGCGTGCAGCAAAGGCACACATAATAAATATAAGAGCGAGCTGGAGACATGGGTATCTGCTCTGCTCGTATGGACGTGTAGAAGAGATATCTTCTGCTTATGCCTATCTTGGCCCATCTAGCTGTATCCAGCCAGAAGCCTTGAAACCTTGACATCCTAAACTCAAGCCGCAGGGGGTCCTTCAGGTGAGAAGACTTCATGTGCTGCTTCTGCGAGCACTTGACCAACTCAGAGAAGTTGCTCAGCAGGGCCTCACCAGTCCCCCCTTCCCATTCATTCCGGCTTTGGGTTCAGGGTTGGCTTCCTGAAAGTGTTCCTTCAACTTCGAACAGGGTTTAGGATTTGGGGCTGACGGTTTAGGGTTCGGGGTTCATGGCTTACGGTTTGAGCTTTACCCTGCGACCCGAATCCACCGGGCCTCGCCGCGTCGGTACAGAATCTCACCTCGGATGGCTTTGACTTGGAGATTCGTTGTATTGGTAAACAAAGGGAAACATAATGCGACTGTGGCTACTGCTATTGCCCTTCTTCTTCTTCTTAGATGTGTTTGGGGTTTGTATACAGGTAGAGTTTAGAGTTCGGAGTGGTGTCTGCTACACTTCTAGCAGGGCTTGTAAGATCTAGTGCACGGGACATGAAGGCGACCTAAACCCAGAACTACGGAAGGGATATGAGGGCACGAACATGACAGACGATTGGGGCTCGGCGCAGAGCTGAGAAAGCACAAGGCCTGAAACTACCACCGTTAGTCTCAAACCCCACAGCCCCACCGAAACCCTAAGCCTCAAACCCAAACCCCATCAACATAACCTTACGAAACCTTACGTCCCAAACTCACGGATGTCCTCTGAAAGAATTTCTTGGACAGGCGCAGTTGGTCCAGGGGCGCCGGTCGATGTCGATGCTCTGCTCCTGGATCTTCTTCTCCCAGACCTGAAAAAACTTGTCTTTTAATTTTTGAAATATTCTGACAGGGTTCGATACCCGTTACTATAAGGGAAGGGCTTGAATAGGCGCCTTGAGCATAAGACTTGAGACTAGGGCTTTTTTCAGAGCTTTGTAGTAGTTCATAGGATGTTTAGGGCCTTTGCAGGGTATAACATTCCTTCATCCGAACCTACAAGCCCTTAGAAGCTCAATCTTAAAAATAAGTGTCGTAATCTAATACTTATGATAGAGTAAATAGCTTCAGGGATTGTCATTACTAATCCGACCCCTAAACCCTATATCCTAAACTCCACAAGTAGTCACCCTCAAACCCGAAAGCCCTTCCCGAAGGGTCTATTCACTACCATGGTCGAGTCTTATCCGTGAACCCTAAAGCCCCAACCACGTGCTAAGTGGTAGTTCGACCCGTTTAGGTTTTGCACCCGAAGCCATAAACTTCCCCATATTACACCCTTACACCCCTGCCCCCGCCCCCTTCTCCGGGCAACGAGCCTGCTCCAAAAGGTCTTTCAACGACCTGCGGCAGCTCCGAATTAACATCGACCAATGGTAGAAAGAAAAAGCAAACCCCCTCTTGAGATCCCTGCTATGTTCCGGCTTAAGGTAGAGGAGTGTAGTAAATTAGGGGTCAGCTTCAGGGTTTGGGATTCTCGGGACTTCTAACTTAAGATTTACATCTTGAGGCCTTGAAGCCTGTAGTAATTAGGACCCTGTAGGCTCTTGGAACTTCAGGGCTTTGGGGTCGAAGGCTGACCCCAAAACCCCAAAAACCTCTCACAGGAGCACTGATAGCCCTACCTAAGCGCCTATCGCCCAAGCCGTCTAGAAGTGGCCTCTGCGGCTGCTGGCCTGATGCAGCTTTCAGCGCGTGCCTGGGGGCAAGGACTGGGGACTTCAGGTACCCTTCACAGGTTTAGGGTTTGGGGGTTTGGGGGTTTATTCGCTGTATTGCTTATGGGTTTAGGGTTAACATGGGTTTAGGATGATTGGTGCTAGGATCCCTTATACATTATTTGAAGGGCATGAGGATTATAATGTTCCAACTTCAATGGCTTCTACTATAGGGCGCCAGGGTTTTAGGGTTTAGGGCTCTAAGGGTTTAGGGTTTAGGGCGCCAGGGTTTTAGGGTTTAGGGCTCTGGGGTTTAGGGTTTAGGGCGCTAGGGGTTGTAAGGCTTAGGGCCAAAGTTTAGGGCTTGGGACAGGGGTGCGCACTTATGGTAGACCGAAGCGCTAAGCTGCGATGCTTAAAAGCAGGTGCTTGAGATTGCTTGAGGTAGGGTAGAGGGTTGCTGTTTGTCTAGGGGGGGTCCAGTGCTATAGACTTTATGAGTGACCCCAAAGCCAAAGTTCAAAATTCTTAGTGATGCACTCCTTTAAACCTGAAGCCTGCAAGCCTTATAACTGCACTCCGAACCTAACCTAGATTTCGAATCCTTGTAAACTCAGGCGAAAGAACACGCATAACATCGTAACCTTAAGCCCTACGCACTAAACTTCGCTCAGGCACTGATTCGCCAGAGCCCGGGTAGCGGAAGCCACGTCGCCGAGCAACTCACCGGTGAAAGCTTCAACTCCTTTCTGGGGAGGGTTGCTTTCAGGCTTCCATTAACGGCTCCTTCAAACCTTCCTTGCAGCCTTAAAGTATCTATATAGGAACCCTTTTAAGACTTTAAGGCCTAAGTATATACTATATGGGCGCATGGAGCCTTGGGGAAAGTAGAGCCGTCTCTGGTTTGTTTGTGTTGGGGTCTTAGCGTCTGGGGCTATTGGTCCAGCCCGGTTCCGCTCTGTGTCTGTCAGCCATTATTCTCGAGTTTAGGGCTGAAGTTTTTGGGTTCAGGGTTTTGTTGTTTGGTTTAGGGTTAGGGGTGTCAAGGTTCAGGATCTTAGGCTTCTCTCTGAGATTCTCTCGCTTTGTAGAAGCAGCCCGATATCGGAGATGTGGCTGGAGCTACATCCAGCCACAGCCTGTTAATATAGATACAGAGGGCTTGATACTCAGAACGGGGTTTGGGGCAAAAAACCGTGCTGTATGTATATGGCGACTTTCAGGGCATTCCTAAACGCTACAGCTTGAACCAAACTGTAAACCCTAAACCCCAAGCCCCAAACCCAAAATCCAAGCACTCGCGAAAAGCAGCTGTGCACATGCCCACTTCTCGGCAAAGCTCCGACGTCTGCTTGTCGTTGTTGCCAGCCATCGAAGATATTATCCAGTTTCACCTTATCGTTCATGGTTTAAAGTTTGTGGCGTCAGATTCTCGTCTGTAGTGAAGAGGTGTCGTCTGAGCTCTACGTAGTCTCAGAGCTTCATCACGTTGTGATACTGCTCCTTGATCATTCCGAAATGACTACACTATGGCAGGCAACTGAGTGCTAACTGTGCTCCTACATTGCAGAGCTTGCTGCTGTCGGCCACCTTGTTAAATTTGGTGCCACACAAACACGTTAAGCCGCAGCAGAGTGCTATCGAGCATCTGTTCGGTTTTGTGTGTACGGCTTGGTTACGAGCACAGCGCCATGAAAGGAATCTGGTGCCATTTCGAGATGGACATGCCCAACACAGGCGCAGCGCCCAACTCATGAATCCCGAATCCTGAGCTTAATCCCAAGAGCTCCCACCTAAGCCGTAAGCCTGCACATTCATCCCTCCTTGGACTGCGGAACCGTGGAGCATCATCAGGTTCTCGTCTTGACGTACGAATGTTCGTAGCCGTCAACATCAGAAACAGCAGCACCACCGGGATCATCATCAAGATCATTCCATTCATATCATTGTCACCACCACCGGCGACACCGTCACAACCATCACAATGTTCATTGTTGCTGTTCTCCTTCTCTCCTGCAGCATCAACACCGTTGCGATGACCCTGGTCATCAAGATCAACCCTACTGAGAGAATCTGTGATACGGCGGGTTATCGTTCCATTTCCGCACAGTATCTAACACCCCGCCCTACATCACAACAAAACCGCAAAACACCGAACACACAGCACTCTTCGAACCGAGACCTTCAATGAGTAGAGCATCCCTACGCACCCGCTTGAAATCTTATCCACCCCTTCATATATGTGGGTAGATCTCGAAATTGCGGTCCTTCTTCGGATCCCCAATATAGTACGGCACCCGTAAAAAAGGACCCTAAAAGGAACCCTAGACCCTAGTTTAGAGAACTATCCATATCGAGAACTCTAAACCCTCGGATCCCAAAATCCCCAAACCCAGCCCCAGGAACCAAAACCCTGAACCTTGAATTCCTAAACCAGGATCCCAAACCCCAAAACAAACCCTAACACCTAACCCCGCAACCCCTAAACCCTGAATCCCCAGAACCCCAACCCATGAAGATGAAATCCCCAAACTAAACCCTAAACCTTAAACCCCAAACCCCCCAAAACCCTGAAGCCCAACAGCCCTTCCTTTCATGGCACCGTGAGATCTGCTTCGCCCTCGGCGGTCTCACTCGAGAAGACACCCAAAATCTCGTGCACCAGGGAGCCTGGGAGGGTCTGGTTGGTTATGGATTTCGGGCTTAGGGTTTAGGGTGTAGGGCTTTAGGTTTAGGGCTTAGGGCTTAGGGTTTAGGGCTTAAGGTTTCGGGTTTAGGGTTTAGGGTACATAGTATAGTAGATTATATCATAGTATAGTGTTTTGGATGAGTATAGCTTATAGTATCGTATTTCATTTTAGAATACAAGTACTAGATTATGAAAATTGAAAGCATCTTCTTCTCATGCAGGGAAAGGGGGTCGGGGCTGAGAGCTGCAGGTGCTAACGCAAAGGCCGTAGGGTTTAGAGTGTAGAGCTTAGAGCTCAGGGTGTTCATCGATGTTTCATAGGGGCTTCTGGACGCCCCCAAGATCCACCAACCCCAAACCAACCCCAAACCAACTTGGCATCTGAGGTCACGGCCGTAGGCTGCAGCAGCAACCTTGAGCTGAGAGTCCAGGTCATCCGGTGGGTGCGCTTCCTCCGCTCCTGACAAGCTCAACGATGAGGTCTTCACGGGATCTTGATAGGGTTCATACGGTTGTGGAAAGGTTTCATAGGGTTAATGGACTTAAACCTGTCAGTAGGAACCATACGGGGATACGGTTTTCTGAATATTTACAGATAGTCTGTACGGAGTATGCTCTATTCGTTTAGGGCTGGGAGTTTTAGTTATGGGGAGTACGGACTTGTATCTATACGTCGGGGTTTTGCTGCCATGGATTTAGTACATTCACCGATTATGTCACAACCTGTTCGCGGAACTTTGCGAACCCCCGACACCCAGTCAGCGCCCGTGATTTCCAAACCTCACTTCAGGAAGCAGCCCTCAGCCCTACACCCCTTAACCCTAAACCGTTTCCCTCGAAAGGATCGAGAAATCTTGTAGACCCTGCCCTGAACCCAAAGCTCCCAAACCCTGACATCGCGTAGGCCCTGCGCTTCAGATACTGCAAGGCCAGTTCTGATAGATAACTCTGCTTTAAAGCGAACGGGGCGCCCTATCAACCTCACCAAATCCTTACTTAGCTGAGGACCCCTCACCAGCCGTGAAACCCGACACCCTAAACCCTAAACTCCTAAACCCTAAACCCCTCAACCGCTCAACCCTAAACCTCTAAACCCTGAGCTCTAAACTCTACACCCCTAAACCTTAAACTCCCAAACCCGGAACCCTACTAAACCTTAAGCCCCCAAAGGCAGTCCTGATAGCTCTGCTTCTGACAGACCCATCTCCTGGGTTCTTGCTGCGGAACTAAACACAAACCAACATAACAAGGAGACCATTCGGCTTAGGGTTCAGGGATATAGGCATAGGGCTATTTACCCCAGATCACTATGATGGTACCTTAAGCCATACTCTTCAGTAGATCTCTGATCTGGTACCTTAAACTAAAAGAGAAAGAACCTACCGATAGCTTCCCATCATGATACGAAGAAGATAAGAACTCCCTAAACCCTTCCCGATTATGGTACCGACCCCATAAGCCAAAAGTTAAGAACTAGAGATTCCCATTTTCACAGTGCCTTAAAGTGTAAAACGAATGAAAGAAGATAATAACTTTAGATTCCGATCCAGTCTCCGATAGCTCAGGCTCAAGATCTTCGATCTGCCACTCCTTTGGCTCTCAGTTCGGGGCGGGGGGAAGAGGTGTTTGGGGTTTAGGGGTTGATGTTTAGGGTTTCTTAGGGGTTTAGGATTTAGGGGCTTAGGGATTGAAAGTTGAGGGTTCAGGTGTTTGGGGTGTAGGGGTTTGAGGTTTAAGGGTTTGGGTGGGATGGGAGTCTATACTACAAGTGTAGATATGTATTGCATGGGTCTCCTAATGTTTGGGGTTACGGATTGAGGGGTTTGGAGTTTGAGGGTTTCAAAAGTAAGGATCAGACCTAGTAACAAGCAGGCCCGAACGAGTGGCGTAAGGGTTTGGGGTATTTCTGTGCTACAGATCGAAACCTTCAGTGGGCCCCTGCTTTAAGGGCTTTCGTGAGATGAAGGGATTGAACCCCCAAAGTGAAGCCTTTCAAACCCGAAACCATCAACTCAAATGCCAAAGTCAAAACCGACAAACCCTGAAGGCTTTTTGGGTATGGAACCCCACCCAATCCTTTGGGTAAACCCTCGAAAAGCTGCTCTTGTGAATCTTCTACTTGCCACATGAAGCCGAGCAACTTCGGCGTGCGCCGAGTCGGCATCTGATAAGAGCTTGGGTTGGGGCCCTAAACCCTTGGACAGTTGCAGGTCAGGGTCTTTTGGTTTCCAGTCTTAGAGTTTAGGATTTCGAGTTCAGGGTTGAGGTCATGATGTATAGGGCTTGGACCTATGGATGAACCTTACATTGCCAGGGTGGACAGATTCGGGGATAAGGGGCCCAACCTAAAGCTCTACACTCCAAAACTCTAGGTCTGGACCTGGCAGCGATGGCATACTATGCTGCGCGGACGATGCACGTGAACGGCTACTTCGAACCCTGGAGACTCGATATACCACAAACCCTAGTAGACGGCTTTAAGAGTAAGAATAGGGTCCTGGGGTGTCCTATAAGACGTACCTACTTGTAGAATAGGAGTCCGAGCCTAGTAACACTAAGCCAAGGCCTACCTAACCCCGTAAACTCCAACCCTAAACCCAAAACCCTTCACCCCAACCCTAAACCCAAAACCCTAAACCCCAAACCTAAAGCCTAAACCCGAAAACCCTGAAATGGGGTGCCTTCAGGAATATCGGGAAGCGTGCAACTCGGGCCGCTGGGCTCCATCAGGATCTGCTCTAGAACCTGCTCGGCGGTGCGATTTTTGGGTTTGGGGTTTAGGGTTTAGGGCTCTGCTTGTTCTTCTTGTTTTTTTGGCTTCTGTTCTTCCCTGAACCCTTAACCTTGTGTTTGGGTGCCCCTTTCTTTGCTTTTGCTCCTTTCTGCAAGTGTTGGCAATCCTTCCGCGGTGGGGGATGGGGACCTCAACTCTAAAACCCAAGCCCGAACCCTAAATTGATGGAGGTCTCCTGGCTGGTTTCCTGCTACTTCCCTGTTGAGGCCCATAACGGAGAGCAACAATAAGGTACCCCGATGACCAGTATTACTATAGGGTTTTGCCTGAAAATCACGAAGCTTTTCATCGGCTCTGACCACTACAGCTAAATCCGACACGTTCCATGCTCAACCTCCCATAACCCCGAAACTCAAACTGCTAAGACCCCTCAGATAGGAGCCTCAATAGGGTTTTGGGGCCCATTATACTATAAGTATAAGAAGGAACCCCCAAAATAGTATTGGCAATTAATAATAATATTTAAGTCCCTATCTTATATTGGCATGACTTGGCTTTGGGGCATGGGGGTCTAGTTGTCGGTGTGCTTGGGGTTCAGGGTTTAGGGCTTGAAGCTCGGGGACATCAGGTGTAGCGTTAGTCACTATACCCTGTCGTCTTCCCCAAAAACATCTTGAACAAACACAAGAAGCCCAAAGCAGCAAGCTTTCTTAGATCTGGAGAAGCGCAATAAGCTGAACATCCAAACATCTATAGGTTTCCTGTCCACCTGATCGCTTCCGACACATCCAGAACAGAAAAAAACGTGCTTCGAAAATGGATCGACCAAAGCGCGACAGAAGATCTAGATCAATAACAGCCTGAAATTAAGCAGCTTACAAATTGGAAGCCTGTTGAGTTCACGGTTTAGAACGACCACCCCGCAACACTAAACCCTAAACCCCTAAACCCGAAACCTCTTCACTCCCCTCTTCCCCCCTGAACCTCAAACCCTAAACCCCAAACCTTATAGATCCCGTATGGAACCCTTATAGATCCCTTTAGAGGAACCGCAAAACTCCCTCGCCGGAAAAATGTCTTCGCCAAGGTTCCAAGCTCTGCCAGGCGGTACGGATGGCAGCTTTCAGCTCATCTTTCGGAAGGTCAGGGTCCTTTTGGCTTTGGGATTTTTTAGAGCTTCAGGGCTTTAGAGTTGAGGGATGTTTATGGTCCTTTTGGCTCTTGGATTTGTTTTTTGAGCTTCAGGGCTTCAGGGTTTAGGGATGCTTAGGGTCCTTTTGGTTTGGGGGTTTTAGGGCTTCAGGGCTTTAGGGTTTAGGGTCCGTTTGGAGGCTTTGGGCCTTATCGTCCTCACCACTGAGTTACAGGCGTGCTTGCAGATGTTGAGTCTTGGCTCGCTTCTTTCAGAGCTAGGGTCGGGTTTGTGAGTTTTCAAGGGCTTAAACATAGCGGTTTCATTTGCTCCCGACTAAGTCGGGAGTGGTTTGGGGTCCGGGAGTTTGGGGCTCTAGCCACAAGGGCTATCAGGTTCTGGGGCGTAGGACCAACGTACCTAGGTACTCCGTGTTGAGGACATAGGAGTGATGAGACAGAATAGATTTCTAACTTCAAGAAGCATCAAGTAGCTGCATTAGGCAGAAGCGCGCAAGTAACGACAGGCATCGCCGAACCAATCAAACGCGAGGTCAGTGTTTCCAGTGCCAAAGTCGATACCCGCGTCAGTGGTGGTAGTGGCAGTTGTAGCTGCTACTGTGGTCGTCGTAGTATCAGCAGCGAGTAGTAGCTACTAGTGTTGCTGTGCTTGTTATCAAAATCCACAGACGTTTGCTCCAAGGCTTTATTACACCATCACGACTGCAGAGATGGCAAGCAACGAGGTCAACATAGGGTTCATACAGATAGCTTTGGAATAGAACTAGAATCTATGGGGATCCCAGTACAAGAAAAAGGGTGATGGCCATAGGATCTGTCTCGTTGTGTTAGCTAAGACAGCTACTGGTGTCCATCTGCCTGTCAAGTACACAGTCTGGCCCAAGAGTGACTATGTGTGAACCCTACTAAGGCCTACGTGTATTCTCGATGAGTGCATGGGCGGGCACGTGCTTCATGTATGACCAAAGCTCATGGGCTCCTTTTGCAACAAGTCATCCCCCACACATTTCAATCCTCTCCAGACAATCACAATCACAATGAACGGCAGACTCACGGCGGGTGTTCTCTGCACCCCACGCCCAGAAACCATTAATGCAAGATCACAAGCCTGAAAAATCAATTGAAACTCTTGTCAACCCGACCAAACAGTAAAAGTTGCTGAAAGCTCTTTGTACCCCTCACGTAACCAGCTCCTGCAGGAAAACTTGCTTCGCTGCCCAGGTCATGTCCTTAATCTTCTCGAGACAGGCTATCTGGCGAATGCGAGTCACCAACCCAAGTTTCTGAATACTGTAAACTTCGAAGCGTGTATTGTCGCCTCGAAATGAAAGTCCTTTTCGGTGCCTCTTTGCCCTTTCATCTGAGTATACACTGCCTGGGTATTTGGACCCTTAAGCTGCATTTGAATGCTGAGCCTGCGCTGTACGGTCAAGGGTGCATGCCGGTTCCAAAAAGGTTTCCAGCAAGCAATCAGGCTCAATTAATGAAGGCTTCCCACTGCCGAAACAGATGAAATAATGCTATTGTAGCTGGGATGTCTTTCAAGAAGGAAGGCGTCATGAGGGCATCTTCTGGATTGTTCGTGGCGGTGCGAAGTTGCCATGCTTCGCCGACACTCTCCAACGCCTGTAGCGTCACCTGCGGATTATGCTTCGGCAGGGTCTTTTTCTGGGGCCGAAACCCCAGATTTCGAAGTTGTGCTGTTTTAGTCACGGCCCCTGCTCCTGCTACTGCCACTGCCACCGCCACTGCAGCTGCTGCCGCTGCTGCTACTACTACCACCACTACTACTAGTACTTCTACTACTAGCAACTAGGAATACTACTAACCGCGTTCAGATGCAGGCTATATGAACGACTACTACCATGATGTGCAGTATCATCTTCACTCCGGCTCTTGTTGCTGAAGAATAGTGACCCTCCTGGAACCCGCAAAGGATCCTTTAAACAGAACCCTAATCCCTACATCCCTTAATGGGTGGTTGTCAAAATTATGGTCCCTTTGGGGTCCTTATTATATTACGGCACCTATTATTTCGGGGACCCCAAAAGGGACCATAATTTTGACAACTACCCTTATGGATCCCTTTCAGGAGCCGTTTAGGTACCCCGCACCTTCGACTCCTTGCCTGCCTGCTGTTGAATGGTCCGCTCAAGGTCGCTGAGTAGCTCCTCGCCAGCCTGAACTTGGAATACGGCTTAGAGTCTCAGGGTAGAGGTTTGAGGGTTCAGCAGTTTTTGGTGGGACGGATGGGGGGGGGGGGGGAAAAATAGAGGCCTTAATGTGATTCGATTTGAAGCTTTAGGGAGTTTGGGTTCCAACCCAAGCTTTGGTGCTCTACGGG